AAAAAAATCTAGAATACATAGATCGCAGGATCAATTGTTGATCGCGCTCAGAGAAAACGACCTGCACGAAAAGATTGGCACCAAAAGGCTGACCATTTTGAAATTTGTTACGCTTCCTCTCTAATTCAGACAAATTTGAACACAAAGTGCAATCAAACAAAAGTTTTGAAAAATTCAATATGACAAGTTGTGGGAACACCAAGGATTGACGCGATTGCCTCACCCAGGAAAAATTCTCCATTCCTTTCTCATCATCGGATAACCACTATACCTAAAATTATTATTCTTAACCTTGCTATTCTTCCAGAAATGAAAAAGGCAGTGAGTGTAATCAAAGGTCTAGCTCGCCCATTTGTTTTTGGAATGATTCATGTGCCCGCTTTGCCGGGGTAAGAAGATTTATTTCATAGGATTAGAATTCCGAGAAATTTCCCTATTGTAGGACGTATATGAACAGATTATCAATGCCCGAGATTCTACAAGTCGTTCGCAAAGAAGCACAAATCTATGCAGATGCGGACATAGTCAGTTAATTTATGGATGGAGCAGGTTTTTTTTTTCAAATTCCAAAATTACATTGTGTTTGACAGGATGGAATAATCGTAGAAAATATGCATGATATCCCTTACGTGAAACCACCACTTGGCCCAGAGATTGTTTCTTCGATGACGTTGGCTTGCCAAAGTGAGAAGAACTTATTTAGATTTGCCTCAAAATTATTCAAAACACTAAAAATTTTCTATTTGAGCCGTTGTCGACACTTTGGGCCCAAAGCGAGAGAAAATGCTTCTTGGAGTGCAAATTCTAGCCGGAGCCAATAAAGAGGCACTAGCCGTGGCGCACTGCTGCGGTATGATAATTTTTGTGATATGAATTTTTCTGGAAAACGAATTCCTGAAGAGAATTTAGGATTTGACCTAATCCGAGCCGAATGTTATGTCTTCTCCCATGTGGCTGACGAGGGCTGGATGGACGGTTGTGCCGGAGAACTACTTCGTTACTCTCATGCTATTGGCGCTGATTCTGTTGCTGTGATCACTGATATTAAGAAAAAACATTCGTAAGTTCTCCTACAATTCAACGAATGTTAGAAAAAGAGATTGAGCAATTTAGATCGCATGCCGTCACAGAAGATCTCAGCATAGCCGAGGTCGCAGAAGCGGCAAAGTTCTTCTTAGCTGATGGAGTGATTGTTACTGGACGTTGTACAGGTGCTACTGCCGATCCGTCAGATGTTGAAAGTGAGTCTAT